TAAATCCCCGGGTTTGGGATGCTGTTTAATATTTAGTGGGTATTTAAATATTCGCCCTGCCCCTGGTGTGGGTTACAGCACTGATCTATCAGTGGGGGTCAGTGGTTGGTAAAGTTACACAGAAGGAAGGGTAATTTCCAAAAAATTTTCTGTGTAAAGCAATAATTCCATTCATTTCCACTGTCTTAGTGCAAAAAGTGCCTGAAAGTTTCCAGAAATAGTATTATTTAAAAAAAATAAAATCACACGGTTCACTGTATTAATGGATGACAGATTTTTAAAAAATCCCCGACAACTCAGAATCAATTTCCTGCTTAAATTGAGTCAGGCAAACACAGTGAACTTGATGCCAGTGCAGAAATGCTATTAATGCATTAACAGCTTCAATAAATACATTTTACAGGTGTGACAATCCCTATGTTGGCCAATCGGAAAAATATATATTTCCTACTTAAAAATAAGATTTTTGGGGCCATTATTATTTTTCCTGTAGATCTGGGGTTTTATTGAGGCACAGCAAGCAGCTGCCTCATTTTATTTTTGCTTGATGAAACAATCAGAAAAGCCTCAGAGGCAACACTTACCTTTTTGCTAAGAGGTTTATTAAATGTAATTAATTTAAATTTCTCGTTTTGACAGAAAAACCAGCACCACAAAAGCAGAAAGCAGCGGGACCACTCCCCTCCAGTGCCTCAAATCCCAACTCCTGGGAGGAACCCTGACTCAGCAGAGGGGAATGGGGAAGATGCAAAAATAAACAAGGCTGCAGCATCAGCTTGGAGGATTTGGGGTTCCAGAGGGGCAGAGTTGAGTGAAAGCCTCCGTTGGGATGGGATTCTGGAGGATCCCGAGGCAGAGAAGGAAAGGTTGAGTGTTTTTAGGGTGACCAGGAGGAAAAGGAATGAATTGTGTATCCAGGAATCCCCCAGACCTCCGTGGCAGCAGGTAAAGGAGATTCCTGCACTCGTTTTTTTGCAAGAGCCAAGCGTGGAATGAATGCTGAAGGAGCCTCCAGGGGTGTCACCCAAAAAATCCCAACAATTCCTGTATCATAGCAGTGCTTACTCACTGTGCCTGTGTGGAGGAAAGGGCATTTATATTTTAAAAATCAAACCCACCTGTTAAAATAGGGATGCATCTCAGGCTGCATCAACAATCATTAGTGCTCCTTTCCACACTGTGTTTGTCCTGGAGTATCACTAATTCCTGCTGGTAGTTTATTTCCAAATAATGCTCCGAAATTTCCAGGTATTCACAGGCTGCACGTTGCAGATTTGTGAGCAGATGAAGGACCAGACACTTTGTTTGGAGGCTGAAATGATTTCCAGGCACATGAACTTCCCTTCCCTGAAACTGAGCAAAGTCAGGATGGGAATCCAGCCCTCACCTCCTGGCTTTTGATCCAATTGTTGGGTTGAGTGATTTTTGATCCAATTGCTGGGTTGAGTGGTTTTTGATCCAATTGCTGGGTTGAGTGTTTTTATTTTGTTACAAAAATTCATTATCTCAGATGTGACATTCCGGAGAAGCAGACACCAAAGGGAAACAGCACATCCAGAACATCAGGGTTTCCTTGGAATGGCAGGTGCTAATTAGAAACTCATTGGGCCAATATGAATTAAAAACCACGTGGAACGGCCTTGTACTCCCCTACTTCAAATTTTTGTAATAAAATAATGTTTTTCATACCGAGTGTCATGACAATACTTAAGGAGAACAGCCCAGCCCTCACCACAGGAAGCATCTGAAAGTGAGGTGACATCTGAACTTCCCTGAAAGACACTGTGCTGACTTTCAAAAGTTTTTTTTCTTAATGGCTTTTTAAACACACTCTTTTATACAGAATTGATGTTTATACGTGGCTTTTCTCCTGTTTAATTCCTCAAAACTCCAGGATACCCAAAAGCTCTGAGAGCCTTTTGCTGGAAGCAGCAGCTCCAGGGCTCCCCAGACCCCAATAATGTCATTACATGCAACTCTAGAGCTTCCACAAGCACATAACCAGATGAACAATAAAAAAAGTAAGCAAAAAAAAATCCCATTAGGAATTAATTAACTGATGTTCAATTACATCCATTCCTGCTCTGCCAGAGTCACTAACAAAATCAGCAGGCCTGCAAAATGTGGAAAGGTTCAAAGAACAGATTAAGCATCCAGAAAAAACCCCACAGCATTTTTCTGAACACAATAGCTTATAATCACTTCTTTTGGTTTTATAAAGTTTAATGCATAACACACTATAGTCTTATGCTTATGCTATGTTTACTAATGCAACGTTTGAGCATCTACATTTTAAAAATAAATTCCTGCCTGGTTAAATACATGTTATATTTGAAAGGGATCCATTCTTCACTTGTAGGATATGCTGAAATTCAAAGCAGAAACTCTCTTTAAAAATAAAACTGTACCAGATGAACGACTCAAACACATCAAGGAGAGGATTTTCAGCTGCCTTTAAAGCACTTTTTCAATGTCTTACTAAATTGACAAATCCACAACATTTGGTGTTGGTTTGGTTTTTAATATAGACAGTTTTATATAGAAAACGCCCTCCTAGAATACGTAAACAGCAAAAAGAAGAGAAAGGAGGGGAGCTGGGATTGGCAGGAAATATTATGTATTTCTAAGTAATTACCACAATAAACACTGAAAAGCTTTGAAGGAGAAATAAAGAGACTTCCCTTCACGATGGTTTTCAGATCATTTATTACCAATAAAGTAAAAGACAAATTGAAAATCAGAAGGAGGGGGGTGGGAAACATCACAGACACCAGAACACTTGCACAGAACGAATCAGAGCTTTGCAAATGTTGGAACATAAATAATTTAAAAGGTATCTCTACCAATTAAAATATTCTTAAGAGGTACATATTAAGTTTGCTTGCTTTATAAAAATCAGGTGCTTTATCCTAAAACCAGAGCGTGAGGGGCACTGTGTGGGTTATTTTGCTTCTAACTAGGAAGGACTAATGGCTACAACTTAAAACAACCTCCTGTTAGATCTGTTCCAAGTGGATCCATTGGGAGAGGATTTGTGGGAGCAACCCAGGGCCCACATTCTCCTGGAATTCTGTGTCCATCAGAGTCCAGCACCAGCTGCTTCAGGAGGGATGGAGCAATCCCATCCCACAGAGGAGAATGTAAAACCCCACGGGCTGTGGGGTGAGCTGGCCCTTCTGTTACACCACCAGGACATCGTGGGGCAGCAGTTAGGGCAGAGTTGCATCATCTGTTTAAGACACATCTCCCCATTCTTGCAGCCTGTGAGACCAAAACGTTCCTTGGCTCTGGAGCGCTGCCTGCCCGTGTCCTCTCTCAGCCTGGGGCTGTTTTAGGAGCTGCCTTTCTGAGGCAAGCACCAAAGGTGAAGGATGTTCTTTTCTGAGCTAATAAATAAGTAAAAAAAAAAACCCTAACAGCAACAATAAAAAAAAACCCCCAAACCATACAAACTCAAGGTTTCCTTCCTGCTGCACTCTTCATCTCCCAACTCTTTTCAGTTCCCCGGGATCCACTTCCACCCCATCCATCACACTTGCACAAACACACGGAAAGCACAGCTCAAGAACAGGCTCCCGAGGCTGCCACTGACAAAACTCACCCCTGGGGCTGTGCATTGCCAAGTCCTCCTCAAAAGCTGCTCCAGGACCGGTGTTGCACACCCACACCTCGGAGGAGTTCTGGAATACATGGAAAAGCTGTGCCCAGATCTATCAGGTGTTTCTGAGAGACTACACCACACAAAAAACCGGCACAACCCACGCTCCCCCCAAAGCAGATGCTCTCCACACTACGCTCTGTCAACACAGAGAAAAAAAAAAAAAATCTGGGAAAAGAAGGAAACCTCTCGTATTTTCATCAAGGCACACGATAAGCAAACGCACGTAAACATCCAGACAAGACTTTCATAATATCTGAAGCTATTCCCTTTGGTCCCCAAACTCACCACGCCCTCAGGAGAGGTTTTTCAGCAGCCTGCAGACAGGCAGAGGCTGCCCCATCCCAGTGACATCCCCAATCCCAAGGATTTGTGCCATGACAAGCTCAGCGGGGAAGCAGAGCTACAGCTGTGGATTCTGCTGAGCACTGCAGACCTGCCCGTGCCTCGCTCCTGATCCCCCCTCCCAAACCCACCACGACAGGGTCTCACACCCAGCCCAGCACCTCCTTTGCCATTCTGGGTCCCTCTGTCCAGCATTTCATCTGAGCCTTGCTTTGGTTACAGCTCCTTTAGTGCACACAGCCAGTGCGGGTAAAAACAAGGCACTTGTGGTTTTCCACCTCCACATCACCAGGATCCGACAAGGCAGGGATAATTTCTGGGCTGGTGTTCCCTGCTCCAAGCCCTGCTGCAGGCACAGAAGCACACGTGTGTCACACAGAGCACGGGTTCCTCGGAACCCACGGAACCACACGAGCCTGTCTCTGCAGTTCACCTCCTGCCCTGCTCAGAGCTCCTCTTCCTCCCAATTTACACCTTCACACGAGACTGAATGCTGTATGTTAGCATTTCTATACGTGTTAAATGCAGAATTCTGGGTTTTTTTTCTCTGTTAGTTTTTTTCCAGCAATTTCCAGGGGGGTGGCTCTTCTGGAGAAAGCACGATCTGAACTGAAATGGTTGGCAGCTCTGTGTGTAACCAAAATCGGTGGATTCTCTGCAGGACAGTGAGGTGCCCTCACTTTTTACACATCACAGCGATCTCCACCTGCCAGCTGCCACCCCACACTCCTCCTCCTCTGGAAAAGCAACCACACTTATTTTCACCTGATTACAACGGGGAAGGAACGAGAACCCACAACTTTCAGGAGGCAAAACCAAACCACGTCCCCACCGAGGAGAAAAACCAAACCAACCCCCACAGTTGAGACCGTGGCAAGGAAGCAGGAGCTGAGAGCAGAGAGAGGATGTGCAGCCCGCTCGGAGCAGCAGGGATGGATGGATGGATGATGGATGGGTGGATGGATGGGTGGGTGGGTGGATGGAGGGGAGCAGTGACCGTGCTCAGCATCCATCCCCGGGGCACTCGGAGCTCTCCAGCTCCACGCTGGCCAGGAACCTGCGGGCGGTTTTGCGGCGGTCGTAGCCCAGCGTGGTGGTGTAGACAGTCTTGGCGTGTTTGGGGTAGATGATGGTGGTGCTGGTGAAGCTCCGCGGTTTGTGGCGCGGCTCCAGGCGCAGCTCGCAGCGGTAGCGGCGCCAGGAGCAGCCGGGAACGCACACGATGGTCTGGAGACACGAGGAGACGCTGAGCGACGGCAGCAGGGAAACGTCGGCGATGAAACGGCGCTCGGAGCCATAGAGCAGAGACGAGGTGTACCTGGGACACAGAAAATAAAATAAATATATATAACGGGGTACCTCAGAGAAAATAAAATAAATATATATATAACGGGGTACCTGAGAGAAAATAAAATAAATATATATATAACGGGGTACCTGAGAGAAAATAAAATCAATATATATAACGGGGTACCTGAGATACAGAAAATAAAATAAATATATATAATGGGGTACCTGAGAGAGAATAAAATAAATATATATAATGGGGTACCTGAGAGAAAATAAAATCAATATATATAACGGGGTACCTGAGAGAGAATAAAATA